GGGACAACATCCTCTTCGGCATCGACGACCCCAGCAGCATATCGGACGAGAGGATCCACGAGGTCTGCATCGACGCCTTCATCCACGACTTCATCATCTCGCTACCCGAGGGGTACGACACGGACGTCGGCGCAAAGGGCGTCTCCATGTCGGGCGGCCAGAAGCAGCGCATCGCCATCGCGCGCGCCCTCATCCGCGAGCCGAAGCTCCTGCTTCTGGACGAGGCCACGTCGGCGCTCGACTCCGAGTCGGAGAAGATTGTGCAGGCGGCTTTCGAGAGGGCGCGCGACGGCCGTACCGTCGTCGCCGTGGCCCACCGGCTGTCGACGATTCAGAACGCAGACGTGATTTTCGTGTTTAGCGAGGGGCGGGTGGTGGAGAAGGGAAGCCACGGCGAGCTTATTAGGAAACAGGGCGTATACTGGGAAATGGTGAGCTTGCTCCATGCTTTCTTGGTTCTGTTGGACCTCTCTTTTGATCTTGCTTTGCTAACATGATTCGTGACAGTGTCAAAGTCAGGCATTGGACCAATAGCTTTGGTCCACGGTAGGGGGAAGGGCGTTGAATTGTTGTAGTCGAAAGTAAACGAAGTGTATAAGTAGAAGTCTCAAACCATACTCATCAAACAGACAGCGTTGTTGGAAATGTACTGCGTTATTGTTCGGATTCATTATCGGGGGTATCAAACTAGCATATTTAGAGACGTCACTTGAATCGCATCTAGAAACATGCCTCTCTCTCTCTCTCTCGCTCCAACTTCTCAGCACGGCCTGCCAATCGGTAACCTCGTGTCCATGTCACCCTGAGTCACGGCATTAAACAAGTCCAAGATGAGTAGTCCGCTGTGTATCGTGAGAGGTTGCCGCTTCCACTGGGCCTCTCTGCCGTCTCTGGGGATATCGGCCGCCTCTTCCACCAGCTGCCACTTTCCCGCCGCCTCATCTCTCTCCATGTACCGCAACACGACACGGTCGCCGCTGTCCTCGAAGACGAACTCGCGGCGCCACAACCGGCGCCACTGTTCGTCGGGCGTGCCCATCGCGTTCACTCGCTCGACGTGGCGGTTCCGCAGGGCCAGGGCGTACAGGGCGCGGATGCTCCATATGCCGTCCTGGCCCGGGTACTCCTTCAAGATCCACATGGCTTCGTTGCGCACGAGGGGATCGCGGCAGAAGAGGGAGATGATGAGGAGGCACCAGCTCAGGCTGCACTGCAGCGAGAGGTGGTGGGCCGGGTTCGTCTCGAACTCCTTCTTGGCGGCCCTCGTGGCGATGTGCGCGAGGGAGATGTACTCGCGGTACAGCGGCGTCAGGGCGCGGGCACTCGCGTCTTCGATAAAGGACGGCGCGTTGCTAAAAAGGTAGACGCCCATGAACTCGATGCGCAGGAGGATGGCGCGGAGGTAGGTGGGAGATCCGACGTCGGTTTGCATGATTTGGTTGAAGAGGGGCTGGAAGCCCATGTTGAGCTTGACCATAGACTTGTGGAAGTTTTCGCAGAAGCTAATGATGCGAGGGTTCCCAAAGAGCTCGAAGTGGAGCTCGGTGATGGCGACGTCGTCGTCCGCGCCGCGGAGGCCAGACTTCTTGAATATGTCCTCCATGACGGCGCCCATGGCGGCCTGGTGACGTCGTATGGCGGGCCAAATCTGCTCAAATTGTTCGAGGGTATCGAAAGAGTCGGGATAAGACTCTGGTGAGTTGGCGGCTTCGCTCTGCGTCTGGTTGAGGAGCATCATGAAGGTCTCCATTGTCTGATTCGTACTCTGTAGGCGCTTTGCGAGGTTTGGGAGGGGCGGACCATCGAGGATACGACCCCTGAAGACGGTGCGAGCCTGCTTTGCCAGGTGGTTGAAGACATCTGCCACAGCGCTGATTACGGGCATCGGGTTGGGCGCCAGATCGGCTAGGCGATGCTGGGCATCTGTGTCCGTCACGAGGGCGAGGAGAAGGGACAGAGCGTGGTTGACGTGATCGAGGGCGGCTTTTCTGTTGCCCCGAAGAGTCTCGAAGAAGAGGAGGAGGACAGATAGGAAGACGGCGTCCTGGGCGGAGGCCCGTCTACACTGCATCTTGAGAGAGTCGCAGTAGTGGGCTACAGCCTGGAAGTAATGGGTGTCCCCTTGAACGGTTGGCTGGTCGGGTACGGTGATGGCATGGAGAGAGACATGGGCAGACTGGCGGTACCACACGCTCAAGGCGCCGATGGCCATGGCGGCGGAGCGGAGAGTGCCATTGTTGCGGGACAGCTGGGGCAGCATGACTTCCCATAGATCGCCGGTAGAGGCAGCTCTCATCCAGGGGCCTCGGACCAGGCCGACGAACTCCTTGAAGTATGACATGCTGTTGTCATTGCGGAAGTCGACCGTGTTGGTGTTCAGTTTCGTCTGCGCCGTGGGCGATGCTGCTGCTGCTACTCGAGGGATGATGGCCTGGGTAGAATCCCAACAGAGTTCTGCGGGCCCGGACGACTTTTTGTTCTTCTTCTGATCCGGGAGGTAACCTTCACAGTGACCGCGGGTCTGGAGGCAGTTGCCGCAATGTGGTTTGGACTCGTCACATTTGATGTGGCGTTTCTTACAGGTAATGCATCCGGTGCGTACCTTGCGTGTGCTTGTACGCGATAGCTTCACTTTAGAGACGCGGACAACTGGCTTTTGCTCGGGGGCCGTGTTGGAGTCCGAGACGATGGACCTGAGGATGTCAGCTCAATCCTTATGACTGATCCCGTTGCCTTCGTTTCCCTTCTTACCCTTGAGGGCTGATGGGTAGTATTGCCTTGTATTCTGCCATGGCGATACGTCCCCGCGATAAGCGTTGGTTGGCATCTTTTGAGAACGTAAGTTGATTGATTCTATGCCGGTACGATGACAACGTGAAGATGCCTAGTTCCCTGTCCCACTTTTACCCGTCTGACAACGTTCGGTGAACCAGATTGGGCTCTTGATTCTACGACTTTGACTAAGAAACGTGATATGTCACCAGGTGCTGCCAGCTGTGCATCAAGAGATGCAAAAGTCCATTCGGCTCTCATATCCATCGGCTTTCTGTCGGTTTTCACAGTTGGAGATGCCCATCCACTTAGGCTAGGTGTGGGCAGTTGCTACTAGGTGGGATGACATTGAGCATTGAGATCCATCCCAATGGTTTTGTTATAGCAAAAAAGCTCTGTATCGCCAGGAGGCAATGTTCCGGCAATAGCTGCCCGGGCGCCAAGACTGTTCGACTGGTATTCGTATACTGAGACTGCAATGCCAGAAGTTTCTCAACAGAGCCTAAGGAGAATGTCGGGTTTTCGTTGCCGGAATGATCAATAAGAAGAAACGTGATGATGATGTTTGCAGAATTAAGGTCCTGGAATGCAGGCAAGAATCAACGCCGGCGCCTACTACCCAGGGCCCCTGCATAGTAGGCGGGGAGGCAGGCGCCTTGCTTGCATTGGTACCTGCAGATGTCACGCCGGTTCCCTGCTCTATGGCTTTCCCCTCAGGTCCTCAAGACTTCTTTCCGCCGTCAAGACTCAGGTCAATACTTCCTCAGCCGACTTCTCCTGCAGCTTGAGACCTTCTTCCGAGGCATACCTAGATGCGTGTGTGCCTGAGTTTTGCTCTTGTTCGCTCTCGCTCGCTCTGTGGGCAATAGTTGTCAGCGCCACTGCAACATGTCTGGAACAAGATGAACAAATCCAGAGGTTGCTGATCATTGACACATCAAAGCCTCGCTCGTATTTGTGTAGAATAACCCCGCGGGAAAACGGCACCAAAACAACTCGGTAAGCAGTTATGAGTGAGTGACAGTGTGGTGGCCCGAATGGAATGTCCCGCATAGAAATGAGGTGTTTGTGTTGGTCATCCGGGAGGGGCCATCGATGATGGTGGTTGCTGGAAAATACGGGGGAGGGGCGCCACGGCCTGGCCGGACGACAGCGACAGGGGCATGGGAGCAGGAAATAGTGGGTGTAGACTGCTAAATATGGCAAGCCAGCAGGGACCCGGCCGTCCCAGTTGGGAGCGATTGGAAGGGCCGGGACGCCGGTAAAATGGGATGGCAGCCGTGATTGGGTCGGTGTTTCGACCGGGCCTGCCCCGAATGCCTTACCCTGTGCCCGGCGTGACCTCATCGCCACCATCGTTCCAGGGGCAAGACCATACCTTATAGCACACTTTTGTATGGTGCTAAAGTGGTTGTTGAGAGAATACGGGCCACACCAGTGACCTCACCTTGGCTCGTTCCTGCATGAGACTGTCACGACTGTGTGTTGTTGTTGTTGTTTCTTAGGAACCTATGGTGGCGCCCTCGATGTTGTTTTGATGGAGGTAGGGCATGAGGAAGAGACACACTAGTGTTGTCAAGTTGGTGTGGTGGCACCACTCAACTGGCTTCTTTACTTGCCTCTTTCAGACTTTTACACCCGTCCCGTCCTTCAAGGTTCTTCTTGTTGAGAACTGAGAGTATGTGGTACGCGTAGGAAACCCCAAAGAGCCGAAGAGCTTTCCCAAGAACAGAAGACGGGGAGGTCCAAAGAACAGGGAACCCTGTAGGACACCACCCCAACTTCCCAAGCTTGTGATGTGATCTGAACAAGCATCCCGCCTACTGTCTGGGGAATCCTTCCTTGCCTGGTCTGCCCTACCCCGTCACTTGCTTTTTTCCTTTTCTATCCTTTCATCGCCCGGCCGACTTCATCACTCTTCTTCCTCCCTACCTTCACTGTCACTCACGATACCTTACCTGTCCCTCATCCTGCTCTGTACCTACGGGACTCTGGGACAACTTCTCCCATCCGTCTCTCGTTTTTTTGGAATACCTTGGACCTACCTGCCTGACTCTTGTATATTTACCCGTATTCAACACTCTTCCCAGAGTGCTCTGTCTCTCCTCCGACGGTAGCTTTCGACCTTGCCGGCAATCTTGGACCGAAGCCCAATTTCATCATCCCGCCTACCTTGCATCACATCGTCGCTGTTGCAACATCTCAAAACCTCCTCCAGCATCACAAACATGCGCGCCTCTTTGAGTTTGGCGGCTGTATATGCCGCAGCTACAGCCAGCGCCTTCCAGGGCTTCAACTACGGATCTACCTTCACCGACGGTAAAGCAAAGGCACAGTCAGACTTCGAATCCGAGTTCAAGACCGCAGCTAGCCTCGAGGGCACCAATGGCGCCTTCACCTCCGCTCGTCTTTACACCATGGTTCAGGGAGGAAGCACTAACGACCCCATCTCTGCCATTCCCGCCGCCATTTCCACAAAGACAACCCTTCTGCTCGGATTGTGGGCCTCTGCAGGTGATGCTGCGTTTGCCAACGAGCTTGAGGCTCTGAAGAAGACTGTCTCTCAGTACGGCAGTCAGCTCAATGGCCTGGTTGCCGGCATCTCCGTCGGCAGCGAGGATCTTTACCGCCACTCGCCTACCGGCATTGCCAACGGCGAATTCTCTGGCGCCGAGCCCAACACTCTCGTCAAGTACTTTGAGCAAGTTCGAGAAGTCATCAAGAACTCGCCTCTGAGCAGTGCTCCTATCGGTCACGTCGACACATGGACCGCCTGGGTTAATGGCAGCAACAAGGCGGTCATCGATGCATGCGACTGGATTGGAATGGACGCTTACCCCTACTTCGAGGACACCAAGCCCAACTCCATTTCGGACGGCAAGGACCGCTGGGCCGAAGCTTTGGCTGCCACTCAGGGAGCTGTTGGTGGAAAGCCCGTTTGGGTTACTGAGACTGGTTGGCCCGTCAGCGGCAAGACTGTCGGTGCTGCTGTCCCATCTCTCGAGAACGCAAAGAAGTTCTGGAATGACGTCGGCTGCCCCATGTTCGGTAAGACCAATGTGTGGTGGTACACATTCCAGGACTCTTCTCCAACAACACCCAACCCCAGCTTCGGTGTCATTGGCTCGACCTTGACTACCAAGCCTCTCTACGACCTCTCATGCGACAACATCAGCTCTAGTTCATCAGCATCGGCCTCGGTCTCCTCCACAAACACTGCGTCTGCTAGCGCCTCTACCCAGGTCAGCAGCGCAGTCTCAGCATCCGCTACCGCAACGGGCACTGCTACTGCTACCGGAGGCGGATCCGGCTCGGGCTCAAGTCAGCAGAGTTCTGCCGCTGGTACCGCTACGACTCTCTCGACTGTGGTGCCTACTACAGATGGTGGCTCGGGTGGAAGTGGTGGTGGAGGTGCTACTGTTACGGGCACTGCTACCGGCGGTGCTTCGCCGTCTGCCTCTCAGAGTTCCGGCTCCGGAGGTGGTTCCGGCACCGGCCGTCCCGGTACTAATGGAACCGTCAGCGTCCCAACGACGGGACCGACGGTTGTCCCCGGCAGCAGTGCAACCACGACGACCTTCAGCGTTGCAGTTCTGGCTGGTGCGATCGTTCTCGCTATGTTGTAAGAATTTGGTGTAGAGGAGAAGAGGATTTGGTCTCAGCATGATCACCATTGACCCTATAATATTGTAATGGTTGTTTGGGTTGACTTGGGACTTGGGGACGGACTCGTGGGAAGCAGAAGTGGATTAGAAGGCCGACTTCTTACGATTGAACAGCAATTCCTACTTTTGCATGGCCTGGGGTTTACAAGCACATAGGCAACCCCTGGATAATGAGTTGGATGGAAGGGCCTCCGCACCATCAAGGCGACTAGAGTCGCCCTAAACGGAATAGTCATTACGAATGAATGCCAAAAAGTTTCTTGTTAACATCTGAGTGCGAGTTCCCTCAGTAACTGCTTATTGACTGCAACCAAAGAACCTTGCCCGATTTATGACTCAAGCCCTTCAGTGCTCCCGACGTCTTGGAGATGCCTTACTTTATCCAACCATGATGAGTCTGGCAATTTTGCAACATGCTGTTGTTGGCTTTTCCCGTACACAATTTTCATCTCATTTAGGCACTTGCATGCCGATATCAGGGGTTGGACCAAGTGGAGGCAAGTTCTCAGGAAGGGCACAGCACGTTTCTTCCATAAAGCGGCATTATACAGTGGTGGTGATACAGAATGATATAGTACATTTTCTTTTTTCTTTGTCTTTCCCCCCATTTACTCGTCAAGTAGTCCCACAGTCCAGTGGACAATCCGATCGACGCCCTGGCCATTGATGGCACTGACGGGGATAGCGGCGACGTTGTCTGTCCACGCGTTTTCGATTCCGCTCGGATGCGGCGCGGTGCCCTGCTTGATCTCGTCGAGGTAGGCCTTGAGGTCTTTGAAATTCTGTTGGGTCTCGGGGAGGTCGGCCTTGGTGGCAACGACGTACCACGGCTTGGCCGCGATGTGCAGGCCCGACTCGTGCCGGGGCGCCGGCGGCGCGTCGGCCACCATCATGGTGCCGTGCGTTCCTCGCAGAGCGGCCTCGCTGCTGGTGGGGGTGCCCGAGTTGAGGTCCCAGTCAACGCGGGCGTCAATCTCGCGGGCGCGCTCTTCCTCCTCGCGCATCTGCGCGTAGAGACCGACTTCGTTCCAGAGAGCCTCGAGAGCCTTGACGGCGGGACCGGCGGAGAGGTCGACGACGAAGGCGAGGACGCCAGCACGCTCGACGTGGCGCAGGAACGCGATGCCGAGGCCGCGGTCTAGGTGGGCACCTTCGATGAGACCGGGGATGTCGGCGACCGTGAATCGGGTCCGCTGCTCGACCAGGACCTCCTCCTCCGCGCCGGGTGATCCGCTGCCGCCGTATGCGGGGTCCGCGGCGGGATACCGCTTGTAGCTCTTGATGACGGGCCGGCCCTTGTAGCTGTCCAAGACAACGGTGCCAATATTCGGCTGCAGCGTCGTGAAAGCCCAGTTACCGACGCGGGTGCGCGAGTTCGTGATGGCGCGCAGCAGGGTGCTCTTGCCGGCATTCGGTAGTCCCACGAGCCCGACGTCGGCCAGGAGCTTGAGCTCGAGCTCAATCTCCATGGTCACGGCGCGCTCGCCCCTTGTGGCGAAGATGGGCCGCGGGAACTCGCGCGATGTGAAGTGCGGGTTGCCAAGTCCGCCGATGCCGCCGACGGCAAGCAGAATGGGCTGCGGAGACGGGCGCGACAGGTCGAGCTGGATCGGGCCGGGCGGCTGGTGGTAGAGACGCTGGCGGGTTGGGGCTTTGGGGAGGGATATCGTCTTCAGGTCCGACTTTGAGAGGCCGGGATACAGAAGGAACTTGCTGCGATCGGGATCTTCAGGCTCGTCGAATTCGTCCTCGGCCTGCTTTTTCGCTTTCGCCTCCCTTTCCGCCGCCATCTCTTCATCCTCCTCTTCAATTCCGTCCTCCAACTCTCGCCTCGCCTGCTCCGCCAACTCAGCCTGACGCGCTAATTTGGCCCTTTTCTCGGCCTTCCTTTGCGCTTTCATAGCGCGCTGCATTATCGCATCCTCGGCAATGGGGTCTTCTCTGGCCAGCTCGCGGACGACAGTACCAACCGGCACAGTGATGATGACGTCCTCGCCTCGTTGACCACCCTTGGAGCTGCCCTGACCAGATTTTCCTTTCCCTGCTCGAATGAAGCGCCGCCTAGCTAACTTGTGTAGTGACGTCTCGCCGTGTACAGCCTGAATGTAGATGTTGCCTCCATGGCCACCGTCGCCACCGTTGGGGGGTCCGTCCGGGAGGTATGCGTCGCGGAAGAAGGAGATGCAGCCGTGGCCACCGGGGCCCGCGTAAAGTGTTACTGAGGCTTTATCGGCGAAGATGGGTTGGGAATAGTCGTCGGGAGCTGGGTTAAGTCTGGTGGATTTTGATTCTTGAGCTACCTGGGTGGAGCTATAGCGGCGATTTGCGACCGCTCTCGCAGCAAGACGAGGCGCAGTGGTGGTCTTGGAAAAAAATAACGAGGGGTACAGAAACGGGAGCAATACCGTATGCCCACCCGAACATCTTGTTGCCATGTTCGTCTCTCGTTCGGCACCGTATGATGCCAATCGTCGTCGTCGTCGTCGTCGTTGTAGTCGTTGTAGTCGCAGCCGTTATGGTCGTCGCCGAGTGCCCGCGACTCGATGAGATGAGACGAGCTCGAAATTTTGAATGCTTCCATCCCATCTGAGGTAAGGTAAGGTACCTAGGTACGTGCTCACCTTACCTAGGTTACCTACCTTATCCGTAGCTGCGACGATAAGATAAGACGACGGGATTACATAATGTGGCAGGGGCGGGAGCAACCGTTGTGAGACCAGGATCAACGACCGAACGGGTGTTGTCAAATGGGCCAGTGCCCAAATCATCGGGAAACAAACTGGGGCTGACATAGGTATGAAATCCGGCGGCGTGCACTGCCTCGTAAGCTCCCCTCGAGTTGGCTGGGGAAGATGGGAAGACTGAAAGGGGAAAAGGGAGCTCGCTTGTCTTTTCAGCCTCTTCAACGTCACTCCTTCATGTCTCGACTTTGAGATGCGGCTCCAAGAGGGGCCAACTGTGAGGCAAATTATTTCGACCGACCCAGACAGAGAGGCATGGTAATGTTACTGCAGCTTACCAATGACGGCTTGCCACAGCTTCTTTGCGAATCCATAATCTGACAGAAAGAGGATTGTTCGGTTATGTTTTGCGCGCATGCAGCGGGCTCTAATCGAGACGCGAGGTGCATAAGGTAGGGCAAGATGCGGTGAGCCAACCAGCCTAATCCCATGACCCAATATATTGGAGGAGCATCAGAAGAGCAGCGTCTATCGTCGGAGCAAAGGGCATCTTGCTGAAAGCAACCGTCGTAAATGGCGATTTGATGGAGGGATGCCAATATGGCGCTGAGAGCAGTCCATACCTGTGGCAGGTGAGGTAAGTTAAGGTACCTAGAGTTGGGCCGGATCTTGGACAGGCGTTCGTTGGCGTTCTGGAAGCGAACGTTCGGACGTTGCATCAGATGGAACCAAGTGGTTCCCAGCTGATCAGTTCAGTCACCTCACCTTACCTTACCTTAGTACACGGAGTACAGTGGTGACTCGCCCCCTCCTTCCTATACTGTAGTGTGGACTGGTTCGTCCCTTGTGCATCAAACTTTCCCTCAATGAGGTGGGTGGTGGTGTTGCTGGTCTGGTGTCTCTCAAGTTGGGTGATGAGGAGCATTGGAAGGTGCAGACCAGCCACCCCACCCCGCCGGTCGTTTCGGCCTGCAAACGCTGACCCGCCCGACTTCTCCTGCCCCTCTCCGCTTTCTTTCCTCTTCGGTGTTTCCCGTTGGACCATCGGCGGTGTCTTACTTCCTCAGTGGTTGTATCCGTAGAGTAGGTAGGGACAGAGTACAGGTACCTGAGGTAATGGAAGCGGTTCACCCAACCTCCTATCCTGTACAGTACCCCCGCTTCACTGCAAACCGCCCCGCGGCTTCTTTTGGCTGCAGCTCTCCTACTTGCGGCCTGTCCTTGCCCGTTCTTCTCCCTCTGCCCCCCCCCCCCTTCCCCTGGCCCTTGACCGCCTTGAAGCCCAAAGCTAAAGGCGGGAACGGCACCGGAAGTACAAACGAGGGGCGGCGACAACGCACACACATAATCTGCCCCTCCACTCATTGACCTGAGGTGCTTCTCGTTGCTCTCTCTCTCTCCTCTCGCCTGCCGACTGACTGCAATTTTTCAACATTTTTCTCTCGTCTTCTACCGTCCATCCCTTCTCTTCCGGCCCGTCACCTTTGGCAGACAGACCTACCTTGCCTACCTTACGGATACCTCAAGAAACAAAAGCCCACCTCTCACTGGGTCCCTGATCGAAGCTCATTGGGACTTGGTCGGGCAGACGACCTCTCTCGCTTGGCGTCCCCTTCATTGGGCCATCGTCGGACCCCCCAAGACTTGCATATCGAGAGCTGCTGGCATTCGAGCCACGACACTCACGCTGCAGTCAAAACCCCCCTTCCCATTCGATCCTCTCTTCATCTACCTGCGTTCTCGTGGATCAAGCTATCTCTCTCCCCACGTCTCCTCCGCATCCTCTGCTTCTGCTTCTGCTCCTCGTTGAATGAGAGCCCGACGTTTGTCTACCTCGACTGCAACTACGATTTCGTTACCGTCGATTCGACTCTCTCTACTGCTTGCACGCTTAGGAAGCCTACCTTAGTCTGCTGCTTGCTGCTCGCCTGCTCACTTGCTTGCTTGCCTTATTGTTTCATGCTTCGATGCTGCAGGATACATAGCACCAACACACAGGAGCAACTCGCTTTATTCGTCCTAGTTTTGTTTATTCCCAACTACCTTACGGATATTCTCTCTATCTCTCTCGCTCTCACCCTGCCACCGACGCTTTGCCGGGCTGTAACCATCCGCCCCCTCTTAATAATCTCTTAAGTCAGGTCTGTCCATCACCGCTTTCCTCTCTCTTCTCTTCTTCCACTCCCTCTGCCCGGCTGCCGAGCCTCATCCCCAACCCCAATCTCTCCAAACACTCTCCATGAGATCCCAGCTCAGGGTCTCGAGAGGAATAATGACATT